TTCACTCCCTTTTTTGTCTTTTCGTGGTCATTTTTGTGTCTTTGCCATCATTTTGTGTCTCTTTGTGCTGGTTTCACACCTCGTTGTTCTCTGTCATTGTTCATCTCTTTTTGGAAAATTAATTAGAAGTGAAATCAGATGTTAAATGTTGAGATTGAACTTTGATTTTTAAGAGTTGATGGTGACCAAACCATCTCAGCACCAAGTTCCTTTACTAGCAGCTCTGGAGCTTTTTACTGCAGACGTTGTTTTTGTATTTTAAGAACGTCTCATGTTGGAAACAGCAAACGACAACTAATTGAGATTTAATGAACTAAAATAAAAATCTCAACATTATAGGATCACACATAAACGTTTTCATGTGATTTAGGATCAAACAACCAACAGAGACTGTTGGTCTCGTTTCAGATTCATCATTTTGTGTCAGTATATGAACCAAACACATGCTTTCCCTCCATCAGATCTATAAATCTCCATAAAGGCGTCTGATAGTCGCATTGCTGTGAAAAATGAAACTTCAGCCATCTTCACACCTTGGCTGTGAATCTTCACACTAAAGCTGCTGTCCTTTTCTTCCTTTTCTTCTATTTAAATGAGCTTCACACAAACGAAGAAGCAGCAGAGCGACGCTAACAGACGACCCTGAAGCCTGATGATTTTATGCTATAGCTGCATGTTTGCGGCGTCCAGGAGGTTGATCCAGACGCTGATAGAAATAAACGCATCATGCAAGAACATCAATGAGAGAAATCCTCTGTTCCAGGTCCACGTTTCTAATAAATATTACATTGAAGAGCAGCTAATCTGCAGCAGCACAAACGTTTTAAAGGAAATTTGATGCTCTGCAGGTTTTTTAATACGTTCACACTGAAACTTTAAGTGAATTTCAATATTTAAATTAATAATTATCATATTTATTAGACTGCAATCCACCAAAAAAAAAAAAACAAGTTGTTTGTGCAGAACTTAAGAAATTAAATTCATGGATTTTGCCTTTTCTATTTTATAGATTTATTTTGTCTGTATGATAAAAAAAAGAAAACATAGATGTAAAATAACATTAAAAAACAACACTTCCTTTTTTATTTTTAAAGATTGTGAAAAACAAACATTGCACAAATATTTATTTTCATTTTAATACATAAAGCCTTAAGTTTATGACTGTACATATATTTCTAAGACTAGATGATTTGATATATTGATCTCATATGTACAGTATAATAAATATATATTATATTTTTGCACATATAAATATCAATTAAAATCCAAAGAAATCAATTGAGCTCATATAGAATTAAGGCTAGAAACTGTGTTTTAGGTCTGGAAAATTTATTTTATTTTATTTTACAGTATTTGCCCAAATATTGTTGTTTGTAAATTTTTCTTTTGTTTTTTTTATCTTATTGGTTTTTTGTTTTTACAGTGCAGTTTGTTATTTAAGTTTAAAATGAGGCAGCATCTCAGCATCGTGGTTTATATAAAGATGGATGCAGTCTCCAGGTCTTCTATAATAAAATGTATCTAAAAAATGTATCTAAAAAAAAAGAAGGCAAACAGTGGACATAAATACGTTTATTTTTTGTTTTACATTTGATTTTTATCAGCCTTTTACAGGTATTGTATGATAATTTTACGACTATTTCTGTGATGAAGGTACTTTACGATAATAATTTTCCTTTTTGTTTCTACTTTTAGTAAAATAAAAGTTAGTTAGTAAAACAACATAAAGTATAATTACTATAAAGTATAATTGGGGTATTTTTCTGTTATTCTTCAGGCAATATGAATAATTCTCTTATATAACTGTCATTTAAAGATGATTACTATTGTGTACGTGGGATTTATAAAAAAATGTTTTTCATTAAATTACAATAAAGAAATGAATAAATGAACAGCTAAATACTGTATTTACAGTTTTATTACACTATTTTCTTCTGGCCCCGTTGTTGCCTCATTTTTCAGGATTTTTTTTCACAGCGTACTTTTACATTTGCTGAAATGAGAAACTTTTACTAAACTGTTTCTGCAGCCTAAACCTCTCACGTCGTTTTTTAAAATCACAGATCTCACAGTGTCTAATGGCGACACCTGAACCTGCAGCACTGGAAGGACGTCCCTAAATGCTCCTGACGTGGCCTTACAAGTTGAGGAGCATCAAAGTGTCGTCCTGCCACGTTCTCTGTGGATAACTCAGCAGCAGTGATTCACAGAACCGGCTTCTGTCTTTGTTTTGTTGCGGCCTGCAGTCACATTAGACCTGAAACCTGGAGACCGTGACGCGACCACAGCGAGGTTTCAGAGGTCCGTCGCCGACCGCAGCAGCTTCCAGATTACAGGCTGCACATGGAGCCTGTTCGTTGGTTTAAAGGCCTCGTATACGCAGCGAGAACACTTGTGGCTGATTGTCCATTAATCTAGAGCCGCTGCAAAGGCTCTCCTCATATTAAAGCTGTAATTCTGACGACCGGTTTTAGCACAAAGCCAAAGAGTTCACAGGAAGACGTCATCGGCAGTAAAACCCACCTCTGGTTCAGCTGCTGGACGTCATGAAGGTTACGTCAGAGTCGGGAAGGTTCCTTATGAGACCAAGTGAAACCTCCGCGGAGTCTTTCCTCTTTATTGGAGTCTCATGCAGCTTTCAAATGCACAGAACTATCAAAATCAGTGTCTACAGATGAAACCACAAGTTTACATCCACCGTAT